AAGAAACTTCATAAGTTTATGTATAAGTAAGCGCGAAAAATGGAAAAAGTAACAATCCTGAATGAGGCCCCCCTCGCTTTTTGCTCATTTCTATCCTAATTCAGAAAAGAGAATAGAAAAGAAAGGCCATTAGGTTTCACCCACCTTCCCTCGAGTCAAAACAAACTCTGGTACCTAAATCAATCCTGGCAAAATTGAAAAAGAAAAAAAAAAGCAGGAAATCAAGCCAATTCCTCCTAAGAGCACTCTGAGCGGTCCAAGCAAAATTGCTGGGGCGCGCTCTGACGTGTATTCGAGTAAACTAGAAGAAGATAAATATTCGATATTCGAGTAAACCGAGAAGAAGATAAATATTCGATATTCGAATAAACCGAGAAGAAGATAAATACGAAAGAGTAAATACGAACGAGAGCAAACCAGCCGCAATCAGCTGATTAAAGGCCGAGGTAACCAGGGGAAGGGATTTGGTACAGGAACTGGAGCGCGAGTTTTCAGCAAAGTGGGGTGTCTTTGAAGGACCATAACTTCCTCAAAAGCGGACCTGTGGGGAAGAGGAGACCGTATTCGTGTAGAGGAAGGTTTGCACTTCCTAAAAGTACTGAAACGTTTATGAAGGTCGCAAAAATCACAGAGAAATCTGCCATGGGGATTCGTTGGGGAGTGATTTCAACTGAACAGGTTTGAATCAATATATTATTATATTTTTTTGTATAACATTTCAACTGAAATCGTGAGAACGGTTTCGTATGTTTTGAAAAGATTTTCTCTTTCTAAAAACCTTCTTGCACTGTTTTGGAAGTTTCTCGAGATTCGTTCGAAACCAGGAACGCATGAATAAACGTATCCTGTGGTGGAGCAGGAGCATATGGTTCGTTTAGCGCCGATCACGCTGACTTTGGATGCGCCGCGCACTGAGGTCCCGCGCCCAGAAGGAGATGGGATGGTGTAACTTGTGCGTAATGTCTGTCCACGCGAGCAAATGTGTCTATAGGGTTCAGGGAGGTCCATGGCGAGCCTGTGCACTTGTTTACAGTGTTTTCCGTTGCGTATGATGGAACATGTCCCTGTCGACGCTGCCAGATTCGTGCTCCGCCAATTGCTGACTCCGATAAAGGAGACCAACTGCTGGAAAACGTCTATACGAACGATATGGTAGTCCTGTCGCTTGTCGAGAAAAAACAGGTTGGCTCAGCGCCAAGCGCGACCGCGGACACGCCATATCATTGGCAGCGAACCAGAGTTTGAGTTGTACTGTTTAGTCACCAACGGACTTACGAGATAATGTCGACTTATTAATATTTGCAGTTATTTCGGATTAGTTTGATGAATGAAAGTTTTGTACTATTTTTTTGCATATCCGAGTTCTCTACAAAGCAAGTTTCGCTGTACAGGACTCAGCACATTGACAATTTGCGCTGCTCGTTACTGGCTGCCGCACTCACTACGACCCCCCCCCTCTCCTGGCGGCCAAATACGACCCCCTGTTGGGGATTCCCCAACCAACGATGTGCCCTGAACCATAGGCCACTTGCACCCCTTGTCTGGCGCCTCTTCACTTTCTGTTGTTCTTCGCGCCCGCTTCGAATGTGTGTTTCGCGGGACCGTCGGATCGACGCATGTGGCGCAGCTTGAGGATAACGCGGGCGCTGTATGGAGACGGCTGCTGCTGTCGCTTCCATACAGTCGCCGTCCGCCCGGGGCACTTTTGAGCGGAAGATAAATGGCAACTTACTGGCAGCTGCGGACCCCTTCGGCTCTGCGCTTCATGGAAGGACAAACCCGAGCTGAGTGAATGTTTTATGTTTAAAATTGATTCAAACAGCTTCCGGTGGTCTACGGAAAGCTGGAACTCCCTTCTCTGCACTCTCTCGTCTATGTTGTACGTGGCATTCTTACATGACTTTCGACTTCACACATACCAAGCCTTTCACGCATGAAAAGTAGCTCACTCACAACGGGGAGTTCGCTGTGCTCTAGAAAGATCCTATCCAGTTTGTTACCTGCGCACTTTGCTTTTTTGCACCCTTTCGATGCTTTGACTTTGTCGCTCTCTCTAGCTGTCTGCCAGACAGGGATTTTGAATAGGGGACATGCATAAAACCTAACATGTAGTGCCACATAACCTTTAGGTGATAAGATGAATCAACTATCCGTCCCGTTCCATCCCGGCCTTTCTTTCTTGCTCATCTTGATTAGTATAACATAAAAGCGTTTGACAACAATGTCGTTCGAGGGCGCGTTCCACGCCGTTGTTGTAGGCGGAGTCGGTAGTACAGTTGTACCTCACACGGATGGCGGCCGTCGCTGTTTTCGTACCATCCCATCTCGATGTAGAAGAAGGGCCGGCTTCCACCCATCGGCTGTGAGTGGTTTGTGCGCCAGACAAGCTATCGAACAACAATAATTTAACGTCAACGGCTGGTTCCTGGCAGGCGCTTGAGCAGCAAAAAGCAGGAAAAGCGAGCGCCGCATACGCCAAACGGAAGTCTGTTCAGAGGTTGCATTATACATAAAGGTGAAGCGCTCGATCGTAGCTCTTGCCGTTCTAACCCTCATCAGATTCTAGAATCAGCAGCACAATGAATTTAGTAGCGAAAGCCTTCGCGGAACCTCAAAAAACGGACGGTTTAGATCGGACGGTGGAGGGTCTACATATTCCGTCGAAAAAAAGAAAAAAGTAGAAGGGGCTTGGTGTCAGCTTCTGTGCACTAGAGGAAAAACCTAGAGTAAGCTCATTTAATTGTAGCTGAATCGATAGCCGCGAACTCCTTTGTGCGTGATCTCTTTATCTGAAACGCCCATCTGGGACGCATAACAAAAGCACTGCTTCATTGATTACCGCCTAATGTCGTGTACCATACCGTCCCTCACTTAGCAACTCCCTCCTTTCCCTAGTTTTCACCTTTCCCTGGTTTTCACCCGCAGCTGTCTCTTTCTTTCTCTGAAAAGTCGACTGGCCCAGCTGCGTCATCTTTTTACCCACCTAACAAACACGCTGCAGCTTTTAGCTCACTGGTGAAGCCGTCGGGGTTCACTGGTGCCATTCCGCTTCTGCTTGGGTGTCAGCGCTTATTCCGTGTCTCATTCAATTAAATACTGTTAAGATTCAAGGTGGAGTAGCAGCAAGTGATCCGGGGGTCAAATTCTGGTTTGGTTATTTATACCGTGTTGTTCTTTCTCCATTCAACCATTATGTGACTGTGTAATATTTCTGCTCAAATGTGCAATGTTGGATCGAAAGTAAATCTTTTGGCGCCGATCATTCCCTTTCTGAGATGCGCCACACACCCTACTTTCATCGTGGTGGCATTTTGAATGCGGCATGGCCCATTGAATTACTTGTGCGGTCCCATCCGGGTGAAGGTGAGTGAATTCCATCCTCCTAGATAATTTTGGTAACAATCAGTCGACTTCGAGAGATGGAAGGCTAGGTTGGGGGAGGAGCATTTAATAAATGTCGTTTGCAAAAGTGCTGAGGGAAGCGACACGTCATCAAATGCCTTATCAATAACACCAGTGCCGAGTTTAGCTGTTTTCGAAGATCTGTCTGCTGTTCACCATCAGCAGGTGGTCTGACCTTGACTTTGGCCTCCTATGGAAAACAGCCCTTCTGATTCACTGTCAGCTGAAACGCCTGACCTTCGATCGGGGACTGTTGTGGGTGGAACTCGATCCTTCCATAGGTTAACAGTAGATGTGGCTTTACTTTTTTTATTTTACGTGGGCTTACTCGATTCCACTTTAGCCGTTCCTTATTTCCATCGTCATTACATGTGTAATAAAATCCATACCCTTTGAGGAAACAGGGCGGCGCGTAGGTTCACTCACCTGCATGCGGTCGCAACGCGTGTTTAGCCACACTAATTCACTCATCCTGAATTGGCTGAATTATTACAACTTCTTATGTTTTTTGATCGTTCACGTACAGTTCAAGTAATGTAGCCCTGTCCGAACAACAAACGCAGTTCTTCAACACCTGATTAACCCAATGGGAGGACAAAACGAAGGGGGAGCTTATATTCTCTCGTCGCCTTGAGGTTTTGTTTGCCCTTAAGAAAATTTTGTCCAGCTGTCGACTTTTCGAGATTTTTCCATTTCACGTGTGCACATATATACCCCACATCCCCCTCCATCCCTCTGAACGAATTCCTGCACAACTATTATTTTTGATAGTTAAATTTAATATATAATTCGTTAATACTGCTGTGCCTCTCGAGGTTTTCAGGTGGAATATTTATTTAGCGGCCTAACGTTTCGACGTGGTCGTCTTCTTCAGAGGCCAGGGTTCCACCGCAAATCCGCCGTCACATGCGGATGTTAGTCAGTAGCGAATGATTTCGATGTTTCGCTACTGACTAACATCCGCATGTGACGGCGGATTTGCGGTGGAACCCTGGCCTCTGAAGAAGACGACCACGTCGAAACGTTAGGCCGCTAAATAAATATTCCACCTGAAAACCTCGAGAGGCACAGCAGTATTAACGAATCATACAACAATGCCGAGGTTACAGCAAGAGAGAAGCTGGAGAATATTCATATATATAATACTGGCCGCGACCCTCCCCGCTTAACGGCAAAATTTTGGAGGAAAAGTGGAAAATTTCTGGCAAATGAAAGTCAGCAGGTAGGAGCCGTACCGAAGGAGGAAACCTAGAGGGTCGTACTTTGCAAAGGTTCACCCCTGCCACAGAACGTGCTCTGTCTAAGGAACAAGCACACCTTGCATCTGTTCATATTCGGTATTTGTGGAGCTGACCGAAAAAATAGGCTTCACTCATGCCAGAGGGTCTCATCTGTCCAAACCGCGGAAGAAGTCGAGCACTTTAATCGTCTACAGTCTCCTAGAATCTATTTTTGCGAATTTCACAGACCCTTTCCCATCGAACAGGCTCCTAGCGACTGAGAATGTCGTACCGTAATGAATCCCCAGGGATCATATTTGGCTTTAACAGAACGTGTGGTCGGCAGACGGAAAAAACCAGTCACAGTACGATGGCAGAATGATGAAAGGGGGAAGAGAAGGAAATTTGGAGGAGGTGGGTGCTCGTATTTGCAGAAATTTCCCCCAACAAGGGAACGTGCTCTGCTCAATGGCGGTCAGGTTGGTTTAGTCGCCGGGTATGGTGTTTGGTACGTGAGGACACGCACCATCCCGGAAAAGGTGACGTCATTCTATTTTTCGTCACAAATTTTCAACCATTGGTTTACGGAAGGTTTGCCAGGCTGCGTCTTTATATGAATGCTTTCAGAATTGATCTTATATTTTAACTATGTCCTGTCGTTTTCTTAACTTGTTTTATGTTGATTTATGTATCGCCTTGTCTCGTAATTGCTCAGCGATTCATTGTTCGGCAAGTGTTCGGCTACTTTTTAACGGCGCCAGTTGACTCTCTTCTGGTCTTTGACGTTTCCTACCAATATAATCAATGTTATTTCTGATGAAACCTTCATTTATCTTCGGTTGTTAACACGTCTCACTTCGTACTAGAAGATGGAAATCTTCTGGTACTGGTTTCAGTCATTATTCGCGCAGAGTGGGGCACAATTTCTAGTCATTGAGATTTCATAAAATCGATCTAAAACGGGAAGGATCACCCGCCTTGAGCAATTCGTGGAATCCTGCGTATATACTTTGCGACTCGGCGTTTCGGGAGAATCAGCTTTTCCAGCGAATCGACGTTTTTGCGAAAATGAAAGTGGAGTGCCGATCAGGTGTTTGGAGGTCGCATCAGCGTTTTTGGCGAAATGCTTGCGTTTTAATTAAGCCACCGTTTTGGGAGAATTGGCGTTTCGAACGAATTTCGTTTTCGACACCAGTCGATACCTATGCTTTCCTTTTCGCTCGAGACGCTGGTTCTCCCAAAACCGCAGATCGATATCTGCCCTTTGCTTTTCGCTCGGGACGCCTATTTGCCATGAACGCTGATTCTCCCGAAACGCCGAGTCGCAAGTATGAACGCAGCCTTACGTAGATGAGCACCCCATTCCTCTAAGTCATTTTTTGAGTAGCTGATAGGTTGAAGGTGTGAGACTAACATGCTTCTCATAAAACCAGATCTCCTGAATGTGGGACAACTACGTAAACAAATGGCCTTGTCAGCTAAAAAAAGGGAATCAAGAGCCTAGGCGCCTAGAAATGTCGACTTGCCTTGATGCTTTTTATTCCAATTGATTCGAATTTGAAGTGGGAGAGAATTTGATTTTTGCGCGCTGGCAGTGTTGCTTCCCTTCTAAAGTGTTTTATGTCCCGCGGGCCAAGCTGCCAACGTTGAATGTGACATTTCTCGCCATTTTCAATTTTCCAACTTTTGCATATTGATCGACGAATTTCTGTAGTCAGCGCACGCCATGGCCATGACAAAAATTTCGTAACAATAAAAGGGGATTCAACGCGACTCTCCACCGCCGCTTCAAGTGCGGTGCTACCCTTCCCATAAATAAATCTAATCCACCGCCGCCAAGTGCGGTGCTACCCTTCCCATGAATAAATCTAACCTCACCTACATCCCCAATTCACTGTACCCCGAATTTAACGGAAGAAACTCCTTTAAGTCAAATTCGATCCTTTTACCTTGCTGCGAGTTGGGCGGAGGTGATGTCCCCAGACCAACCGTGCTCTCTACCCTCCTGGTTCTTTAAAGTGGTACCAGATCGGTCTGGGAAGACGGGGTTAATTAACAGTAAAGACTTTATCCCTTATACTTTCCACTTGCTGCGACTCAAATACGACCCCTCCCTCGTCGGGGATTCCTCTGTCCATAACGTGTCTCGATTAAAAAGGATGTTGGAGCGACGACAGCTTCTTTTTCACCACTCAGAGCTCGCTTCATTTGGCAGCGACTGTTGAAAAACGAGCTGGTGCCGCGCCAAAACCCACGTCACATTGACACGCCCCCTCAATTCGGTTGTTGAAGACTATGATGCCTTACCCTAAAGGGTGTTTGAAAAACCAGACTCCCAGATCGTATTTCCAGTGTACGTCCTTTAGCAAAGTCAGAACTGGTTTTTGTAAGCATTATCTAGGGTACTGAGGCAGTTTCTCACAATAGGAGAATTTGATCCTTCATCATTTCTGCGTTCTAAAGTGGGACTTCCCACGGTTTTTGAATCTTTTCAACCTTGCCCTCATCCTGAGCCGAACAAGACCATTTGTGTGATCAGTAAGCATTAAAAACAAGCGAAGTGTTGACGGTTTCTGCAACGGGTTCTAATCCTCTAGGGATCCTGAGTACATCTGAGGAGGAGGATGCTTGCAGTCCCGCGAGGCGGACAAAAAAATGTCCTGGTCGCCCAAATACATCGTGCTTCATGCTCTTTCAACTGCCCCAAAAGTTGCGCAACAAACTGGTTCCTAACGAGTTTTGTAGAACGGGTTTTTTTAGCGAGATCCGATACACGATAGTTGACGTATTTATCCATTAACTCGTCCTCCTACTTCGTTCTTTTTCACGTTTCCCTTACTAGAAAGAAAATATTGTCATTCCAGCCAGTGGGACGAGAATTTGCTTAGTGTTAACTTTTGTGAATATGATCACCCTTCAGAATATTGTCATTTCCAGCCACTGCCGGACGGAATTTGCCAGCTCGTTAACTTTTGTGAACTATGATTTCACCTTCTAATTTCGGTAAGAAACTTTTTTTTTGCCACAACAGGCTTTGATTCGTCCATGCGGATCTTCTCACGTAACCTCTCTCAAAATTCTCCTTTTGTCTGCAGCCTCTTCGCACTATTCACCTGCTAGACTGCCTGGACAAAGACCTAAATAGCAGCGCTAGAAAAACGCTTAGAAGCGCGTTTCAGACTTTATCGCATCGCGCAGCATCGCGATCCGCTTGGATCGCGCGTCCGAATCGCCGCGATCGGATCGCGCGAATCGCGAGTCGCGCGATCGGATCGCCGCGATTGGATCGCGCGATCGATCGCCGCACTGCATGGGCTAAACATTTACTGCGGGCAGGGGGTCACGTTCGTTCATGTTCAACTCAACTCAACAAACAACAACAACAAAGTTCTGGGAAGGGAGCGTACTAATATCACCATTTCTCACATCACAATGCTGTATCCTGCCTCCAATAGGCAGTTCCAAAAACGATATAAAAGTAAGTTCGACCTTTTTTGATGTCTTTTATTCCGTGTTCATATTCGCAATACTGACGTTTGCAGAAACCGTTGAAAGGAAAGGTTGTGTATAGACCTGGAGGATGGCAGAACAAACAAAGCAACACAATGTGACAAAAGTAAAGTGAATATCTGGAGGACTGGCAAAATCGGGGGAAGGGAGAGAAACAACATCACCCGCTGTTAAAAGTTCTGCGTGTCTTACTTTTGGAACAAGATGTTCAACACTCCGCTTGAACGTACTCAGATGCAAAATTCAGTATAATAATTAGCATATTGTATATTTAGTACTATTTTACATAGGAAATAATAAATAACTCAAAGATATTTAAACGTTCTTTAAAATTAGGAGGGCGTTATGTACACAAAGGAAGAAAGAAGGAAAAGAGAGAGAGCAGGATCAATAAACATATACGCACATAACCCCCTCCCGCAGTAATTTCACCCTCAGTAGCGCGATCGGATCGCGCGATCCAAGCGATCCGATCGCGCGATCGCGAAGTCTGAACGCGCTCTTACAGTATTCCACTGGCAGATCTGCTACAACTCGTTCACGACCTGCGCCCACTCCCCCACCCTCCAATAAAAAAAAAAACCATTGCCAGTCTTTGCCGCCACGCCCCCCACTCCGCCCGTTCCCTCCACTGTACGCTCTCATCGGCCGTTTGTCATTTGGCGCGATTATACTGTTGTCTGTGAACGGGTCAAGAGAACCCATACGCGCCATAAAGACAGAAAAATTCGCCCGAGTCGCTAAATTCTCCCAGCTACACTGGGAGATCCCGTCTGAGGATTAGTAGCACCAGCTCACGTTATTTACTGTTTATGTACGCAGCAGGTCCATGAAAACCTAGCAGATCAGTGATTCGGACGAGTGTATACTACCCGGAATGAACGTCACTTGAGGCGCTTGTCGACTGGTCTAATCTCTTCCCTCTTCAACTATGTCTGATTTGTTTTTCTGTATTAGCACTGGAAAGCTCGCTTGCGAAAAAGTATCTCGAAATGGTGAGGCTGAGGGACTCGGAACCGCCTACTCCCATACATGAGGTCGATTACTTGTGTACACAATTAGAGACGAGTTCATGTGACGACATTAACAACTTAAAACTTCTAGGGAAAGGTTGGTTTTCTTTTTATTCCCTTTTAATTTGCTTTTCTTTCTTTATTCCCCGAACAACTGCGATTTTTACTATGACCGTTGCGCCAGCGTTTTGAGCGTACCCCAGTGCTTTGAACATTTCGCGGGTACTTTACTTTTTCGCAACGATTGGTGAACTACTTACAGTGAATTGTTTCAGTCAAGGGTTCTAGCTACGGCGCGGTATAACTGTTTAAAAACTAAGCGAGAAGAGATCGATAGGTTCCTGAAGGATCATGCTAATGAGGATCTCGGAAACTACATCAGTAAGTCCATCCCATTGTTTTCCACCTTTTCCGTTAGGTGCGTTCATACTTTGCGTCAACGTTTTGAGCGGCCAGTGCTTTGAGCCTTTCGCGGGTAGTTTGGAACTTATCGTGGGCAGTCGTCGAAAACGTTGGCGTTTGCTCAAAACGATGACCGCAAACTGTGAACGCAGCCTTTCATTTTCGCTCATTATTCGTTTTTTGCTTTTTTAATGCCCATGCTATCCAAGAAGTTGTTGCACAGTTTGTAGCTCTAGTTTATTTGCGGAAAGGGGCGCTTAATATGGAATTGGACCTAGGCCATTTTATATTCCGCCTGTTCATCTGCGTTTCCGACCTGCCTGGTGATCACATCATCCTTAGCTTCGGACAGTGGAATCAACGTAGAGTGGGCGTGGTCTGTCATGTCCCCACCCCTTCCCATCACGCTAGTATCCACCTTGCTCATGTGAAAACATATCCCTCTTATCTAATAACAGCTTCAGTTACGGATAGGCGGCTAATTGCGCTCTGGATCCGCTCACCAAGTCCGCTCCGTCATAACACGGATATGATCAGCTTGGGTCCCAAATGCCTAATTGTTCTTATGCATGATGCACTTTGATTCAGCGCTTAGTTAGTGACGACCTGGCTGCTGGTTTGTGATTTCTGCCGTATTCAGGCGAACTAAGATGTTTCGCGCGCTCGAATGGAGGGCTCGTACTCGACGAGTACCGTGCCAAAATATGGCCAGTACTGGCCCGACGACTTGTACAGTCTGATGAAGACGAAGATATTGATTATGATTCAATTTCATCTGTTTCTGATTCCATTTCGGTGAAGTCATCGTCGACTCAAGACACAACTGTAA